CCCCAAAACCCCAAAACCCCAAAACCCCAAAACCCCAATATTATACATAAATATTGAAAATGGAAGGACACCCATATTTACAAGAAAATTATGAAAATGAGAAAGAGATCAGTGAAGAAATTGGTTCTGATAGAGAACGCGACCAAATGGATGTTGATAACTCAGAAGTAAATAATATACCAAAGCCAAGAATGATGAAAGTAGATGATGGTAGGTAATCTCCTGACTCAATCTAGAACCCTCCCCAGCGAAAGTACCCGCTGTAGAAATGCACGATCCTGATATACCTCTTCGAGCTAAAGGAAGTAATATGAGAAAGGCGACTAACTTCCAAAAGAGAAACATGTCACCTGCGGCTTTGCAAAAGAACTCAATGGTTGAGCGTATGAAAGAGCAGAACGAGAGACTCAAAGCCGAGCTAAAGCAGCTAACTGAAAAGTTAGAAGAATTTGTCCAAAAAGCTAAGCAGAAATAAGCAGCAGAAGATGGAACTCAAAAAGAAAGGACTTGAAGATGATAATGACACCATCAAGTCAAAGAAGCAAGAGCTTACCAAGATCCAGAACAAAATCAAGGCCTATAATAAAGAAATTACTAATATGAGAAGGCAGCTAGAGGGCAGCTATAATATAGACAAAATCATCGGGCTCGAAGATGAGGTTAAGGATAAAGAAAGGATCCTAAAAGAACTCCAAAGCGAGAACAAGAGTCTCCAGAGCGTACAGAAAGAGCAAGAAAAGGCCCTTAATGGCTTAAAGCAGGACTATGCCCTTGATGATAAAATAACTGAACTGAATGCAGATCTAAAGCTTGCAAAGGAAAGACTTCGGAAGGTAAGTCTCTTACTATAATCATAGCTACAAGCTGCTCAAAGGAAGGAAGAGAGATTGCTGAAACAACAGCATGAGCAGTCAATTGTGTTGAAGGAAAGAGTCTCTAAGATGGAGCAACTAGTTCAAGAGCAGAAGAAATAACAACCTTAACATGAAACGTATGCTCATGTATGACTAGCTATAGTAAATAAGGTAAATCAGGAGGTGACAGAGGATGACTTAAAAGATCTTCAAGAGCAAGTGAAGATAATTGAGCAGGAGAAAACTCTTGAAGAGAAGAAATTCAAAACTGAGATTTCTAAAAATGGCAAATAAAATCAAGTCTCTCAAACATGAGCATGACTTAGTTAGTTTACAAGTAAAGGAGAAGGATCAGGAGTATCGGCTGAATGAATTAAAAATAAGAGAGCTGAAGAGACAATTGCCACCGAAGGTGCTTAAAATGCTAGAAGAAAAGGAGAAAGAGCTAATGAACCTTTAAGAACAATGATGATTAGTTTCAAAATCTAAAGAAGGCAAAAATAATGAAATGGCTCAATGATAATTATAGAATTTCAATTACCCTTTGAAAAAATGGGGTTTTGGGGTTTTGGGGTTTTGGGGTTTTGGGGTTTTGGGGTTTTGGGG